TTAGTTAGTTAGTTAGTTAGTTAGTTAGTTAGTTAGTTAGTTAGTTATAATCAGCGCTTAATTTGAGCCGGATCCTGCCAGAACAGGATCTTGGAACTCTTATTTTGACCGGGTGTGTTCCGGTAACTGTTTGCTTGGATCTGGTAACTCTCAGGCTTACAATAATAAAGTTATGAACAATTATGACAGCCTTGAACAAATAAAACTTATATTGGATATGTAATCTGAAAATAATTACATAAACACTAATTTTAAACACAACAGTCACTTACGAACTTCTTAATATTACATAACAGCTGTCTCTTTAAGTAAGCATTTCTGCTTCTACCCTTAAAAACATCTCTGCCCTTAAAAGTACAGTCATGGGCTTTAGCACTGGTTATAATAGTCCCATTAGTCTCATCCTAAGCATTTCAATGTACTGTTAACCTTGTGTTAAGCTTGCATATGACAAATAAACACAAATTGAACTTGAGCCTCGGGGACTCATTTACAAGGGAGACCTGATAAAAAAACTTTGATAACTCTGATAACAAATATATCACAAACAACTGGATGGGCTTTAAGGACACTTTCATTGAATGATTCTTTACAGCTGTTTAACATATGAAGCCAATCCATTTTAAAATGACCACAGTGCTCGCTTACCTTAGAAAAAACAAAAATGACTAACTCTGACATGAAAGATGGAAAGCAACGTGCATATTTTCAAGAAATGCTAGGCCTTCAATTTGTGTTTATTTTCAGTAAATATGTCTTAAGTTGACTTGATCATTTACCTTTTAAAATTTGAAATGGAAACCTTTCATAGCCTCTGTAAGTTTGATGTGTTTCATCTAAATCTCATTGTTATTACTCATCAAAGCTACTATCTTTTCCTCCCCAGATTGTCTCGGCTCTACCATTTTTGCACCAGTCAAGGCAGACATATCTGGTAACATCATGGTATGTATGCATACAATCAATCTATAACGACATAGTTAGAAACATTAAGATAATAATATATGTTCTGTTTAAAAACTAGAAAATTAAGCAAGTTTATGATTCCAATCCTGGACGATATAAAACACTTCAGATGATTTTGGAGGCAGAGAAGGAAATGCATGGAGGGGAATGGCCCAAAGTTGGAGCAACATTGGCACTTATGTGGCTCAAAAGGTGTCAGGCATTTGGACATTTTACTGTATGTTATTATAGTTTGAGAAGTTCTAAAACACTTGCATGTCTTGTGTTTAACAGGGGTCTTAGATTTATCCAGGTCTTTCTTCAGAGCCTGGTGGATGGTGAAAAGGACGACAACAACCCTAACCTCATTCGAGTCAACATCACCAAAGCCTACGATGTAGCCCTTAAAAGGTATCATGGCTGGTTTGTTCAGCAGCTCTTTAAGGTGAGATCAGACTCAGATGTAAACATGTGTAAACCAGATGCATGCAGATGTGCTTAAAGTGAACATTTTCTCTTCCAGGCAGCTCTTTTTGCTGCTCCCTATAAGTCTGATTTCCTGAAGGCCCTCTCAAAGGGTCGGGACGTCAAGGAGGAAGAATGCGTGGAAAAAATCAGAAAATTCCTTCTGAACTTCACTGCCACCATCGATGCTATTTATGATACATTTAATAGAATGAATGCTGATCTCGACTACAAGGTGTGACAGAAGGAGGCATCTCTTTTCCCAAGTCAGTCAGTCTTTGTGGATTAATTTCTAACACGTTTGACATCAAGATTTTGTGCACATTTTAAAACATAAATGCACTTTACATTTTCTCCCTGTTTTCTGACTCTGGTAATAGATTTGGTTTTAATGGCTCTATTCTTTAGGCTTTATTTCTTTACAACTGAAAAGTGTTTCAATTCAAAAAGTATTCACAGGCCAATTATGCAAACATCTAACGGAAGATAAAAGCTTCTGAAGACCCTGCTGTGTGTCTTACCACGGGCAGCATGACCTGCTCTGCCTCTCGCAGCCTAACAGCCAGGGGTTCATAAGGTTGAAGCATAAACTCCTTCCTACCATTTATCAAGCAAATATTTCTAATTAAAGATGGCAGAGTACTCTTACATGCTATTTATATCTGCTTAAAAGGAGACAGGTTGGAGTTGGAAATGAGGACATACTGGACACTACCCCACTAATATTAGATAGTTGATATATTTACTAAAAGTAGATCAATAGATTAAAATATAAGTAGAAAGTTTGTAATAAATTAATCTGAAAATATCAGTTGACATCTCTGATAAACAACTAGTGGCCCTCTGGCTGCGATGAGCCCACAAGCTCATTTCATACGGCCCGCAAGTATTAAATTATTAATAAATGATGATACAGTCGTCAGTTTTCCTGTTCACGTGATGTGATCAGACCTAGTTCAGATAAGAGGAACAGCAAGAAAACCAAGAAAACCTACTGCAGAAAAAAGTTTTTGTTTTTTCCCCACTCTTGACTTACTCGGGTTTTTTTTTTTGTTTTGTTTTTTGTGAGGCAGCTGAAATCCGTAAGAGTCAGATGCAGGTGTGTTAGCAATTAAAATAACTTGTTTATGTTATATGGTGAAGCTAAGATAAAATAGAAAAAGTCAAAATTTTAACTGATTTTTTTTTTCTGTTTTTCTTTTCCTTCAAACATTTTGACCCAAAATTCTCATGTTAGCTTTTATTTATTTATTTATTATTATAGTTCAGCTTTTTTAATATTTTAATGCAATCAGAACTTCTCAATCAAATAAAAAAGAAAACAAACATTATCTAACAACTTTTAAAAAACAGTAATTACTATAAATTTATTGCAGCAGAAATTGAAAAACCTATAAACCAAAAGATAAAATACATCAGCTGCAGTCACAAAAACACAACTAAAGAAAGTTGCCAGCTTTGAAAAGTTTTGTTTGAGTAAATTTTATCAGTGAGTCTTAAACTGCATGTTTCATTTTATCTCTAAGCCATGGTTCCTTATTAAAGGTTCTCTGTTTTTATCAGGGGTTGTCCCACATATGTCATGACAAACCTTGTATGTTTCATTTTCTCTGCCCAGTGTTGGGATCTCATCATTTCTTTACCTGCATCAAAGAAAAAAAAACTTTAAGGAATGTGTTGTTTTAAAATCCACTACATTACAGCTCAATAAGGTTTGCACGCTGCCGTTGTTGACTTAAATCATTTCATCATGAAAGTTTTTGTTACAAAGACAAAGTGAGAGAAAAAGGTTCATACTGAAACTATATTTCCATCAGATCTGAGAGTTTTTCAGCTGCTCTCTGTTCAATCACTTAATGTTTCTTTTCCTGCAGCTTCAATGTAAAGAAAGTGTCTTTTATTAGAATTTTTGTCTTTTCCAGATGGAAAAGTCTCTATATGGTGGCATCACAGTCACAGCTTGTGTCGTTACCATCATGTTGCAGTGTACAATGAATAAGAAATGTTATTTTGCAAGATGTAATAAATATGTTTAAAAATCATGTTGATCTATTAAACTTCTCTTCTGCAAAAAATAAATAAATAAAAATTCTGATTTGATTGCAAGTTTCATTACTGAATGGTAAAACAGTTTGCTTATGTCATGAATGTCATGATTTCAACAAAAATGTAACCTGTGTGCGTTCTACAGTTTTTCCACTTCTTTTGCATGATCATAGCTAAACAAGCTTTATTTCCCTAAAGTTTTACAGTTCTGTGGATGTATTTATTTATCATTGGTTCATTTGTGTTTCTTCTCTGCAACACTCAAATGCATGTTTCTTAAAGGTTCAGACTGTACAGTACTGAGGTGGTTCCTATCGTCGCCTCACAGCAAGAAGGTCTCAGGTTCAGACTTCTGCTGAGGCCGCTCTTCATTAAGTGCTGCTTAAATCATGTTACTTTAAAGATAAAAAAATATATATTTTCTTTAGATTTAAACTTGTAGTGCTCTAAAAATAACATTGATTTGAACTAAAACCGATCTTCAAACTGCAAAAAAAAAAAAAAAAAATTAAAACAAAGCATATCAACATTATTTTAACTTATTTGAACTTTTAACTTATCATGCATGCAGGATCGGTCGAGGCACGGGTTAACAACGACCATCCCCAGTGATGTTGACAAACAGGGTGCCGGCAGAAATTCCGCTACTGTTAGTCGAAGACCACGAGGAGGGAAACGTCTCAGGAAACAGGGAGAAGAGGAAAGTCAAGAACTGAGGGTGGCAACTCTAAATGTGGGAACAATGCGAGCTGGCCAACATGATGCAGAGAAGGAAGGTAGATGCATTATGTATCCATGAGACCAAGTGAAAGGGCAGCAAGGCTCGCAGCATTGGAGCAATGTTTAAACAGTTTTATCATGGTGTGGATAGAAAGAGAAATGGAGTAAGGGTGGTCCTGAAGGAGGAGCAGGCAAATAATGTAATAGAGGTGAAAAGAGTGTCAGATAGGGTGATGTGTCGGAAGGTAGAAGTAGAAGGTCTGATGCTAAATGTTGTCAGTGTATATGCTCCACAGGTTGGATGTTACATAGAGGAGAAAGATACATTTTGGAAGGATCTGGATGAAGTGATAGAGTGGCGGAATTGTCTCAACACAGAAACAGCTGATGTCTTCAAAAACGGTCTTTGAATTTGTTTATTATAATAAACAAACACACACATCACATAGGATGTTTCACACAGCCTGCAGAGGAAGTGTGTATGACAAAAAGTCCAGTCTAGCTTTATGGCTGTCCTTCATGTGATAAGAAAGACGGAAATTGTTCAGAAAGACATTGTGCTCCGTGTTCCTTCATAACTGGACTGTTGTCTTATTTACTCGTTCCATTTAGATTAAACATGTACCAGTTAGACAATATTTGTTCCATTTTGATGATCAGGAGATGCAGGATTCATCATTATTTCACAACACCCTGAATTTATATTTAAGGCAAAGTATAAAGTTTTCTATGACACCTATAAGAGTGGACGCAGGAGTACGCAGGTCGACTACATTCTGTGTAGAAGAGGAAACCTGAGGGAGACTGTAAGGTTATAACGGTCGAGAGCGTGGCCAGACAGCATCGGGTGGTTGTGTGTAGAATGGCTGCTGTTGTGAAGAAGAGAAAAAGAGTAAAATCAGAGAAGAAGATTAAATGTACTTTGAGAAGCTAATGAATGAAGATAATTAAAGAGAAAGAAGAGTGGAGGTCATAGAAACTGTGGACCAGGAGGAGGGAAAGATTAGTGAGGGTGAAGTCTGGGAAGCTCAGAAAAAAGTGACCAAGGGGAAGGCAGTAGGACCTGATGACATACCAGTGGAGATTTGGAAATGTCTTGGAGAGAGGGTGATGAAAATGGAGAAGAAGTTGCTAGTGCTAATTTTTAAGAACAATGATTATGTACAGTTTTGAAGCAACTTCAGGGCAATTAAGATGATGAAGATCTGGGAGAGAGTTGTGTAGACGAGCGGTGACTGTGAGCAGCAGTATGGTTTCATACCCAGAAAGAGCACCACACTATGCCATCTTTGCTTTGAAGATTCTGATGAAGTACAGAGAAGATCGGATAGACCATCATTGTGTCTTTGTAGATTTAGAAAAAGCATATGACAGGGTGCCGAGGGAGGAGATGTGGTATTTCATGAGGAAATTTGGAGTGACAGAGAAGTATGTTAGACTGGTACAGGACATGTATGAGGACAGCAGGACAGTGGTGAGATGTGCTGTAGGAGTGACAGATAGCTTCAAGGTGGAGGTGGGAGTGCATCAAGGATCGGCTCTGAGCCCCTTCTTGTTTGATCTGGTGATGGACCAACTGATGAGGTCAGGCAAGAATCCCTGTGGACTATGATGTTTGCAGATGACATTGTGATCTGTGGTGAGAACAGAGAACAGGTAGAAGAGAACTTGGAGAGGTGGAGGTATGCACTTGAAATAAGAGGAATGAAAGTCAGCTGTAGTAAGACAGAGTACATGTGTGAATGAGAGGGAGGCTGGTGGAACAGTGAGACAACAAGGAGCAGAGGTCACAAAGGTGCAGGACTTCAAGTACTTGGGGTTCACTGTCCAGGAAAATGGGGAGTGTGATAAAGAGGTGAAAAAGAGAGTCCAGGCAGGATGGAGTGGATGGAGAAATGTTTCAGGAGTGATTTGTGACAAAAGGGTGTCAGCAAAGGTCAAAGGAAAAGTTTACAAGACCATAAGAGATCACTCATCAGAAGATCATTCAACACAGCACAGGTTGAACAACTGAGATAAAGTTAGAGAGGCCAGACTGAGACGGTTTGGACATGTCCAGAGGAGGGACAGTGGGTATATTGGATGTTAGAAATGCTGCTGCCAGGAAAAAGACAAAGAGGATATACATGGATGCAGTTAGAGAAGACATGGAGGTAGTGGGGTGAGGACAGAGGATGCAAAGGACAAAGTGAAATGGAGGAGGAGGACTTGCCCCGAAGAGGGAAAAGCTGAAAGAAGAAGATTTTAACTTTTAACTTACAAGTATCTTTAAATTTTTTCTGGATAACTTTCATAAATACTGCCCAAGCCAAGGGTCTGACCTTACTTACAGCTCAGTGGTATAATTCAATTAATAGTCATCAATTAAATTACATCCTAATTACCTTTAAAAACTGTAATTCCTGTTTTCACAATTGGGCCACTTGTGGAAACATGTTTTTCTTTTGCAGTTAGTTTCTGATATTATCTTGGGGTGCATTCCTGCCACACCCTCCTTACAGACCACTGTGACTGAAGTAGTGTAACTTTGCTGCTGTATTCATGACTGCAGGGGAACAATGAGCCTGAAAAACAAGACCAAATACTAACTTTTGACCTCTGCTTAAGATCATAATGAGGTTTTTTTAGTGGCTCAAAAACAAAAACAATAATATTTCCATATAATTTCAATCACAATTTAGGCTTTTAAAAACTGATATAAAAGAAAAGTTTATAAATGTGTCCTTGTACACGCACATTCAGTCTCTTGTGTTATTCATCTTACATATGAGAAAAAGAGCCACCATGTTGAAATTACCATGCTGCGAGGGTTTTAGGAACTGGTCAAACTCGTTTTTGTATTTCCTGGAGCAAGTGAAAACTTTCCAAGGATGAGGCTTGGAAGATCTACTGTATGGCCACCTAATTTATCATTTATTGTCAAACAGGCTATATCCTGCAGATTTTCATAAATCAGTTCTTCCTGGTTAAAAAATAACATCTCAGCTATTAAGGATGCCACTCATTTGTTCTAAAATCAACATTTTAATCATTTAAAACCTTTTTTTTCACTAAATAATTCTATATATTTTTTCATTCATTCAACCTTTGTTTGTCCATTGAGCCTCAGGGACTCATTTACAAGAGAGACCTGATTTCTTTAACAAAGCGTGATGACAACAGTGGATAACAACAACAACAACAAAAGACAGTCACAAAAGAGGCATACAAATTTAAATTTATTTTTCTTGTTTAATAATTTTTGTGTGTACAGAAACGTGTATTCTCTCTAGAAGTTTTGTAGATATCTGAAAAAATTCTGACACAGATACACTCACATACTGTATTCATTCATTCGACATTTATTTATACAGGTTAGTCTCATTGAGGGCAGCACGGTGGCACATGTTGGTAAGAGCTGCTACAGGTCGCCCTGGTTCAAATCCCGGCTGTGGTCCCTTCTGGGTGGAGTTTACATGATCTCTTCGTGCATGCATGGATTTTCTCTGGGTACTCCAGTTTCCTCTCACAAACCAAAAACATGCATGTTAGGCTGATTGGTAACTCTAAATTGTTCCTACATGTGAGTGAAAGAGTGAATGGTTGTTTGTCTTGTTTGTCTTTATGTGTCCCTGTGTTGGACCCCGTCTCTCTCACAGTGATAACTGGCACCAGTGACCCCCACGACCTGAAAAGGAAGAAGCGGGTAAAAGATAATGGATGGATGGATAGTCTCATTGAGTCATGAGGACTTATTTACAAGAGAAACCTGTGTGGATGTTTTTTCTTCATCCCCATTGTTGCTTATATTAGTTTTTATTTGAGATCTAACAATTCCAGATATCCCAAATACAACAATGTTAGACAATGGTAATAAAAAAATACAACAACAGTGTAATCACAAATATGAAAAACATTTTGTATATTCATTGCCAACTTCAACTTATAACAAAAAACAAACAAACAACAAAAACAAGAAATAAAATTTATGATTTGCAACATCTGTCTCAGTGATTAGGGATCTATGTTTATCTATTTTACAATAGAAATGCAGTATTAGATAAGCTGTCTTTAATTTTAATTCTGAAGTAAGAATGTCCATTTGAAATTGAGTAAAACGAGCGATCAGGGATGGAGTTTGATTTTATGTTTAAACTGCCTGCCCTAATATTCTCCGTAGAGGTCTCTAGCGGTCATAAGCGGTACTGCGCCGTAGACTTCCGCGGTGGATCCAACCTAAAAGTAAGGTGTCGTTCTCCCTGTCCCACCCAAAATCAGTGAAAGCATCTGTTGTTCTGAAGGACCGTGGCGGGGCTCGGGCTCACCGAGCAGGAAAACTTTGTCGCTTATGTTTAGGCTCCTTCATTTAGTTGGAGCCACATTAAAACCGAGGAGGCAGACAAGGAGCGCTCATCAGGCCGGAGGAGGCGAAAAGTTTGAAACTATGGAGCAAAGCTGCGTCTTTTGGAGAGAAGAAACAAGATCATGAGGGTGAAACAGGGTAAGTAAACTGCTTCAGAGATTTTTCTGGAAAACTTTGCGCTTAAAATTATTTTTTTAATCCGATTGAGATTTTGATATAATGAGAGAACGACATTCAAATCACAAATGGCAACATAAATGTATATATAGCTATACATACGTATGTGTATATACATACACATGTATGTATATATGTATATACATACATGTGTGTGTATATATATACATATATATATATATATATATATACATAT